CAACACGTGACGAGTGAATTTCTCCGCTGTGAGAGCAATAAAGCTCATGTAATCTAATCATCATCTATTTCATCTTCTCTGGAAGTGACCTTCGCCTCTTTAGCTGGTGAGTCCATTTTAAAGAAACATTATACATTAAATAGACCCTGGATTTAAGGTTTTAATTTAAAAGGTAGTGAAATTCAAACTGTGGGACGTGCTTCTAAAACTACCAAATAATGAAGATATAAGCCAGTAAATGCTTGCAGCTGTTCATTCATACAGTGAGCTGGTTTATCAGCTATGAGAGCAAAGAGGGACGAATTAGGATTAAAGGAGAACATTGGTGGAAAAAAAATCCAGTTTTTGTAAAGAATATAAAATGTGATAAATCAGCAAAAACGATTCCTGATTCCTTCATCCTGGCCTCCAGACGCTGGGCAGGAAGGAAAGCTCTGAGACTTCAGGGGCTTTACTAAAACTCTGATAACTTTAACATTTCATCAGAAAGGTCGGATCAGTGGAATCGCTTCTTGTCCTGAAGTCCTCCTGTTGGGCCTGGTCCTGGTCCTGGTCCTGGTCGTGGTCTCCCCCTGCAGAGACAGAACTCCATCAGACTGAGCAGACCAGAGACACAAACCAACTGGGATGAATCGATAACTCACCAATCATCCGAACTTGAACAGTTTTCTCTTGCAGGATCATTCCCTGCTTTCCAGAGATAACACATTTATATTTTCCATAATCATCCTCTGTGATGTCGTCCATGGTCAGAGTGAGGTCTCCAGTTTCCAGCAGATCTTCATTCATCTTGGTTCCCTTTCTATATGTCTGCTGTTTTCCAGGTGGGTCACATCCTTGTCCTACTGCACAGACAGTTCTGTATTTGGGTTCAACTAACGACCACTCAACTCTGGATTCCTGCAGAAGCTCAGGTGTCGTCTGGAAGGGAAGCTGGACAGACGCACCCTGCACCTCCACCTGGCAGTCTAAAACCAGATCAAAACATGCTTTATACATCGGCCAAATAACCTTTACAGCAGGGGACATAGCAAAGCATCTTTAACGTTACATCAAGAATTATTTAGCGATTATGGAAATCAACTATCATCATCTGATGAATTTTACAAAAATGAGCAATCTCCTGTCCAGGGTTGATGCTGAGAAACTAGTCCATGCATTTGTTATTTCAAGGCTGGACTATTGTAATAACCAACGGGGGCCAGTTCATGATCATGTCCTGGCCCCTGTTATGGCCCCTGTACTGAAAACATAATACTTAAAGAAATTCTAATGATGATCTGCGCTGGAACAGACATGGTTACTGATTGGTCCTTTGGATCCATCTCATTTTTTTTCTTTACAAATTCTGTTTTACTAATTATTCAAAAACAATAAGGCGATAGCTTCAGTGGTGCTGAGATAGGATCCCAGTTTTCATCTGTCAAATGTTTTTTTAATAGGAAAAAAATGCTCTAATTTTTATAGATGAATTTAGCAGTTTTTCTTGAATTCTAATCTAAATTTGATAGAAAATGGAAGTTTTAACTTAAATTAAGTCAAAAATATGTAAAATTCCTAAATAATAAATGTATATTGACCTCACATTTGGCATGTGAACAATGGACTGTACTTTTGTGAAGGGAAGTTGAATGTAAACTGTATGTAATATTTGTGCAAATTAAGGAACAAGTGGGGGTGTTGACATCTGTGTCCCTAATTGATCCTCGCATCCACTTTCGGATGTGGGCGTGGCTACACACAGGTGTGCAATCATCAATAAATGGCGGCAGGTCATTCATAAAAATGGTCGCATGCAGGCCAAAGAAAAATCAATGTCTGTTTGTCGTTATCTTGCCTTTGTCTTAAACCGACTGATCAGCTCTTGTGGCGATGGCTGCGCCAACAAAATACGAATCCAAACCACTGACCTTTGACCCGTAGCTCCACTCGTTTCTTCATCAGGATGGTCTTGTCTTCTCTGTAGGCTTTGCAGGTGTAGAATTTATTGTCCCAGTCTGTGGGATACTTTATAGTCAGACTAAAGTCTCCTGTTTTCTTAAAGTCTGTCTTTAATTCTGTTCGATGTCTGTAGGTATAGAACTGTTCTTCAGGGGGGTCTTTGTCACGGTCGTATCTATGGACCATCCTGCCTCTGCTGTTCACCCACACCACTTCAGTGACCTCACAGTTCAGCTGATCTTTAAATTTACAGGGCAGCTCAACAGACTGGACCCCTGGTTCCACCACCACCTCAGGGACTGAAAGAAACAAAGGATAACACTTCTGACTTTTTGAGAATATTTTCTCTGACTGTAAAACAGAGCCGTGCAGAGAGCGCTAAAGGACCGGGGGCCTAAAGAAAAGAACAGGCACATATATAATCAGATTACTTGTCCAAATATCAGCTAGAATCTTAAACAGATTTAACAGTTCAGTGTACTGAGGCATAATGAAAATAGTAAGCATTGAGATTTATAACTGGAAGAAACCTGTGGAAAACCATAACATAGAAGACACCACTCTACATCTGAGTATTAATTACTTTAAAACAATCAGAATTTCATTCTGCCTTTTCATTGTAGTTGCTGACTGTGATGCGAGCAGACCAAACACTCCCATGCCTCTTTAAAGTCGTAGGGAAGCGGCTGTTCCAACCGTATTAGCATTTCCGAATTCTCTCGAGTGGTGCCCGACTTTACACGAGTGAATAAAGTGAATGTGATTGGTCGATTATCCAGGGGGCGGGATTGTTGTCGCGGAAGGTTCTCAAGCATGTTTGGTTGT